CCACTATGGTACTAGCTACTGTCTGTCACTTTTCAGGTCTCACAAAAGGATGGCCCAAGATCATTCTTCTCTTCTGAGCAAAGGGTATCTCACTGGACCCAAGCTGTTTTCTAGTTTAGTAGATATCATGAAAGAGTTGGAAGTCAATGTCCTCTACAACAGAACCAAAAGCCAGGCCCTGCTCCATTCTAGAGAAGCTTCTTGGAGGTCTCTGAACTGAGGGTCTCCACGGAGTCTGCCCTTAACATGCCTGGCCAGGCTTTAGAGACAGTCTTACCAAGACACAGTTATACTTTCCTTTCTTTGAATAATGCTCCTCGACCTTGAGGGTGTGGTTCCAACATGCATCACACAGCAGGAAGTGACATGATGTGACTTCTGAGGCTGGAGTACAGAAGGAAATACAGTGCATGCCTAGCTCTGGAATGAGGAGGCCAAGGCCAAGTGAGGGGATCATCTGTAGGTGTTCCAGACAAGAGCCCAGCTCAGGACCTAACCTATGACCATCACCAAGTACCAGTCTTCTACAGGTTCCTTCAAGCATGTGGGTGAAGAAGCCCTCCAGAATATTCCAACTGTAGTCGCTGTTGACTGCCCGGCCTCCATCTGATTGTAACCACAGGAGAGACTCAGAGGAGAAATCACCTGGCTAAGGCCAATCATGCCAGAGAACCAGGAGAACTAACAATGATTAAGAAATGATTTAAAGGAGATCTCTGCAAACTGGCCTGTGAATAAAATCTGATCCAAGACAGGGTTTTTTCTTTTTAAATTTTACAGCCAATGGCTTGATGTATCTTTAAAGAGTTATCAAACAAAACAAAGAAAAATATGCAACACAGGCCATATTGTTCTCTTCAAGTTTAAAATACTTGTTCTCTTACCCTTACCAGAACAAGTTTACCCAGCACTGACTTAAACCACTCGGCATCTGGACAGTTTCCTGTGCAGAAACAGCCAAGTGCAGCATGAGAAGGGGACCAGGGCAAGATGGCAGGCTCACCATGGAAGCCACGCTGAAAGGCTACATCAATAGTTATCTGCAAGTCAGAATTATTCCCCTCAATAATGGTCCTTAAGGGCTTAGCTGTGGCTCAGTGGTCCATCCTGGTTTGCCTGAGGGAGACCCTGAATATGGGAATCATAAAAATAACAGAGAGACCAGCAACTGATTTTTACAAACACACCCACTTAGTCAAACAAAAGCAACAGTAATATATTTGCAAACAAGAGGCATTTGTCTTTCTGGGTCTGGGTTACCTCACTCAGTATAATTTTTTTCCATTTCGTCCATTTTCCTGAAAATTTCAAAATTTCATTTTTCTTTATAGTTACATAAAATCCATGTATGTATATGCCTTTCACTTTCATTATCCATTCATGAGGTGATGAACATCTGGACAATTTTCCAGCTATTGTGATCAGAGCTGCAATGAACAATGATGTGCCAAGTATTTCTGTAGTAAGATGGGATATGTCCAGGAGTGTAGGGCTGGGACATGAAGTAGATCTAGTTCTAGTTTTCCTGAGGCACCCCTTTACCATCAGCATACAAGGATTCCCCTTCCACACATCTGGCATTAGTAGTCATTTGTATTCCAGATGATGCCCATTTTTACTGGGTAAAATGAAAATTTAAAGTGGATTTAATCTAAATTTTCCAGATGGTTAAGGGTACTGAGCATTTTAAAGTATTTTCTGGCCACTTGTAGTTCTTTTGAAAACTGTTTAGTTCCATAGCCCATTTTTAATTGGGTTATTTGTTTTCTTTGAATTTAGTGATTTTATATTCCAGTTACCAATCCTCTATCAGTTGTATAGCTGGCAAATATTTTTCCTTATTCTGTAGGCCATTTCTTCACTTGATTAACAATTTGTCTTGCTGCATAGAAGCTTGTTAGTCTCATGAGGTCTTGTTTTTGGTTGTTGGTATTATTTCATGTGCTACTAGAGTCGTAGTCAGCATAAGTCATAGTCTTAAAACTAAATTTATGTGTTGAAGAGCTCTCCTACTTTTCTCTTTAGCACTTTCAAAGTATCAGGTCTTATCTTAAGGTCTGATCCATTTGGAGTTGACTTTTGCACAGGGTGAGATTCAGGCATCTAGCTTAATTCTCCTACATGCTGCCATCCAACTTTCCCAGCATCTTTTGTTGAAAATACTCTTTCCCCCAGCATATTTGTTCAGTTTCTTTGGAAAAATCATCAGGTAGGTACAGTTGTGTAAGCTTATATCTGGGTCCTCTTTTCTATTCCATAGATTCCATAGATCTATGTGTCTATTTGGGGGCCAATATCATGGTATTTTTAGATGCTTTAGTTTTGTGTGCTTACCTTGGAATATCTCAGGAAGCCAAGAAACTGGAAAGGGGACAGTGTGAGAAGGTCGTCCTAAATCAGGAGGTATAGTACCTAATAGGTGAGAGGAGGGCAGAGAAGGGGAATACTGCAGTAGAGAGGTTCAAGCAGGGATAGTGGTGGGAGATAGGGACGATTAGGGAATGGCAAGGGCTAGACAAAACGAGGCAAGTATAAGAAAACGGCACTGTAACTGACTTTCTAGTAACTCTGTTAAAAACTTTGCAGAGAATCTGAAGACAGATACCTTGCAAAGTCTAGAAACAATGGGTCACTAAACAAAAACCCCATTTCCAAGTGTGGAGTACAGGCACTGGAGTCATTGATCAGGGAGGTTCCAGAGCCCCCAGAACATTATAGGTTCTGGTCATTGTTCTTGGTCACTCATCAGAACTAGTTGATAAGACCCTACTTCTATGGACCCTCTACATCTTAGGAGCAAGATGTAGTGAGATCTAGCTGGAATTGGGCTAGAAGATTCCTCCCTGCTGGATGGATGTTACTATGAGAGCTGCTTTGGGGATAAGGACTTTGATTGCCTTGCCCAACTCTGAACTCTTTGAAGAGTATCCAATGGTGTAATGGCAATGTGACTAGTATGTGCTTAACCAACCACTCTCTATTTCAATTTGGGCCTTCTTCTCCAAGAGGGAATTCATGCCTAATGATGTTAACTTCATCTAAAGCCCGTGCTGAAGAGGTCTTAGACTCTATGTAGGGGATGAGGAACTTAACATGGTTCCTTAGCTGAATTGACACAACATCAAACCACCTCCTAAGTATATACATATGTTTATACTCAGAAACAATGACTACTCTTAGCCTTAAGCAGAGACTCTGTCCCTCGTAGTAAAGACAGATAAAGGCAAAGGCCTGTAACTGTACAAGACAAAAATGGACAGTTGAGGGCTCAGCCCTAAACAAGGCATTTACACTACCCCATTACGGCTCAGGGAACATTGCAGAAGAGGAGGTAGAACGAATGTAAGAGCTAGATGACAGAAATAGGGGCCGAAAAATACCATTACACAGTGGCTGTGCATATTGGCACTGGGTCTATGGAAATCAAGTCCCCCTAATAGTCAGTATGGAGGGGGAAGGATACATGGGGCCCAACCACATACTTCAGAATTGTTGACAACTGACACATCCTGTGTGCAGGGAGGCCAGTATCAACTGTGTACCACCTGGAGATCCCACCGACTGCTGGTAGTTTGTTCTAAACTCAAGTCCATACAGACAGCCCTGACTAAACTCCATCAGACACTGAACAAAGACAAAACTAATAAAGAGGCAAAAGAGGTTGCTAGGAAGGCACAGGGGTGGGTAGAGGTGGGAGGCATACCAAACCTCATGGTCTACGCGAATAAACGTGTAAAAGAACAAAATTTACCAGCAATAAAAACAAAAATTTACCAAAGAGTGTGTGAGGCATTTATCTTGGATTTTAATCTAACTTAAACTCATTTTAAAAATTCTCATTAATAATTTAATTTTAATAAAATGGGCATTGCTTACTAAGTAGCAGACACTTTTCTCAAACTCTTTTGTGTGTCATATCTCAGATAGGCCACACGCTAGTTCTTACTTCTGTCTTACAAGATGAGAAAATGAAGGGACAGAGAGATGCTCTAACCTGCCCCAACCCACACAGGTAGTAAAATGTGGCACAGGATTTGATTCTAGCCTGATTTCCAGCCTTAACATTAGCCATTGCCCTGTACCTCTCCTTTACAGAATATAGTAATTTAAGACGTGTAGTCTCAGTTTACAGGATGTGGCTGGCTTCCTTGGCAAAGACAGCTCCCATTGACCACTCTGGCAGACATCCCTGGATGCCAGTCAGGGATGCTGTCCATCTGTCTAAGAAAGAGGTGTGGAATTAAAGTCTCTTTATTTCTGCATTCGTCTGTTGAGAGGAGCTGCAGCTCCCGGGCTAGCCCACACTGAAATTGTTTCTAGGCTTTTCCTTCCAGCTCATCTGATGCTTCCTCATGCTTACACTGTTTTCTGTCAGTCAACATATAGGGAATCATGATTGTTAGCGGTGGACTGTCACGGGAGGTATCATATTGGTGACCGCCCTCACAGTCACCCTATGACTAAATAAAATCAAGAGACAGACCAAGAGACACTCAATGCCAAAAGATCCCTAGATGCTGGGCCCCTTTGCCATGGAGGCTGAGATAAGCACTAGGCCCCTCATCTGCGAGGTCTCAGTGTAGACATGCACAGGACTTGGTCCAGTGTCTGGCACCCACGGGCAGCTGTGATTACTACAACACCAAGCACACTTTCCTCCTAGACACCTAGTGTCTGGCCATTGGCTCTCCACCGAGTGACCAGAAAAGCTGCTGATCACAAAGAAAGACCCACAGGAGGCAGGATGGAGAGTCCTAGCTACTGCCCACCCACTGGGTTGCACACTGAAGCTCCCTCCGAGATAGTTGCACATGTTAGAGAATTGGTTTATTTATTTATAAAAACATATGCTAAATGTTGTGTTTTTAATAATGCTATAAAAATGGGTCCATCACATTCTCTATCTAGCTGAATTTGGCAGAAATAACTGGAAAGAATGTAAGGAATACTGGATGGTGTTGTGACTCTCACAAGGAGGATATAGCACCTTTTCTACTCACCAGAATGGAAAGATAATGAATCGGCTGATGAAGAATACGACAGAGAAGATGAGGAACAGGATGTTACAGGTTTGCTTCCATCTAGCATATGAAAACATCTTAGCAGACTGAAAATAAAGAGAGAAAATGCATTCAGTTAAAATGCTCCTGACATAAAATTTAAAAGCAATTGGTCTTTCTTGAAAGCAGCCTGGGGAAGGTATGGGTTGTGGATGGGAACATAGATTAAATGAGATTAGCCATAATGATAGCCCTTAAAGGCAGAGGAAAGCTCTGCGCCTATGTTTGAAATTTTACATATATAATGACTTAAAAAGATAGGTTAAATAACTATAACAACACCCCTGTCTCTTTAAAAGCCTGGAAATCAGCACGATGAATCCTAGCATGTATTCTATATAAACATCTATTTCATATCTCCTTTTCTTTGAATGGGGAGCTGGACTGGAGGAAGCATGGAACAAGAGTGAAGTGTGGGCTTGGCAGGGATGCTCCACTCAACAGGGCATTAAAGATGCTCTACTGTACTCTCCCATGAAGCCCAAGGTTGAAGTGGAAGTGAGAGGTGAGGTATAGTAGGAGTCCCTGGAGTAGAGACCATTCCTCTAGGAGGTGCGGAAGTTCGAGGGGGAGAAGCCCCATAGGCTCATGTATTCGAATGCTTGGCTATCCATGGGTGGCATTTTAGAGCTTTTAGGAGATTGAGCTTTGCTGGAGGAAATACAACATTGGGTATAGGCTTTACGGGCTTATAGCCTTTGCCCATTTCTTGTTCATGCTCTCTGCTTCCTGTTTACATTTAAAATATTATCTTTCAGCTTCCTACTTCTGCTGCCATGTCTAATCCACCACTGTGGATGAAGAGTCTTACACCAAAATAAACTCTTAAATTGCTTTTCGCCATGGTACTTTGTCATATATAGAAGTCATTAATACAAAGGACCATGTCTTAGACTTAAAGGTTCAGAAATTACATTCTGGAGGCCCAAGGCCTTTCCAGAATCAGACCAGCAACATGTATGCCCTCCAGGAAGCATCTAAATGCATTTTTCCATGTTTTCCAGAATTTACTAAGGATGATGACATGACCATCCTATTTTGCTTTCCAAAACTTGCCAAGGATGATGATATCCTATGGGGGTAGCAGAAGGTACCCTTCTGTAGTCGCTTTGTTGGCTACTATAGAAAGCCAGTACACCTAGAGAATAAGGGCTGGTAATAGATAGCGACCAAAGTCTTAAAATGATTAGAGTGGAGTACACAGTTGTCTTCAAGGTCAGAAGCCATGCCAAGATGGGAAGCTGGATATGTGCATGGGTATCAGAATCTCTGTGAGCCCACTCACAAGGGCAAAATGGCACTGTTGGGCAGAAATGCCATTAACACTTCTGGAGTGTGTAATAATGAAATACCAAATGGTAATCCTTCATAAATGCTAAATATCAATCAAGAGACATAAAAGTGTTGGGTCCTGGATCCAAACTTGGACATGGAGAGTATCAGAAAGATGCTAAGTAAAGAAAAATAAAAAGATGCTAAGAAAAGGCAATAAATAGGGTGTGTATAGGAAAGAATGGCAGGTGTTGAAGGAGGCTTTGTTGTTGCAAAGAAAGAGCTAAGAGATACACCTCCCGCTTTGAGGCTTGCAAAGATTAGCAGGTTCCAACTCAGGGAAAGTCTACACCAGCAAAGGTGGTGCAAAGTCTGGGTTCAATTAGAACTTGATTGAGAAAGCGAACACTTGACAACTATTCAAAGAAACCCTGGGTCCTGTGTCCTTGGGAGAACACCAAAAAAGGCTGCTGCCGCCACAGGCAGGGCTGTCTCTACCCCCCACTGTTGCTGGAAGGCACTAGCCTTATGCAGGAGCCTTGAGTTAGATCATGCCTTGTGTATCAAGAATGATTCATGATTAGTAACAACATGAGGCTGCACTTACACTTAAACCATGAAGGGACCTTGAAGTCTGGCCTGCCATTTCCCGCCCCCTGTTTTTGAACCTAAGGACTTGGAAAATTTTCAAACAGTAATGAGCTAAACATTATAATATACCATAAGGGATTGATATGACTTCTCGTGTTACAGCCGGAGCTCGAAAACAAAATAATAAGTAATTTGCCCAAGTCTCTTAGGGAGTTATGCTATGTCTATGACAAGGTAGAAGGAAAGCTGAGAAAACCAAGCAGCCAGATCCAACTTCAACAGCTACCTTTCCCTTAAAAATACAATGGAAGTCTTTTCATACTGGACACACACCAAAGCCGAGCAAATAAGTGCTCAGAAGCAAGACATGAGTGTGTAATTCTTCACTCAGGACTACCGCAGCCTTCGTTTTCAGCTGAGGTCACCGAGATGTGACCAGAGGAAAAAAGTGCTTGTGGCAGAGGTGGCTATGTTCAGAAAGCAACGTGACACAACCCTGGCCAGCCTTTGCTGGCCCTGAGACACGTGTGATAACCTTATCCACCATTCTGGACTTTACAGAATTTAAATTTAAATTTACACCATTCTATGCTTTACAGATATTTAAGAGGCCAGTTGCTGACTTCAAATGAATTCTGGTTACTTCTTAAATAGGTTTGGGCAAATTATTTTCCAGTCCATGGGCTAAAGCTGGCCAGGCCTTAAGAGTGGTTTAAAAGGGAGTATCCTTATAAAATGGTATTAAAAACAGGGGTTCAAAACAATTAAGAACATAAGACAGAAATCACATGAAGCCCACAAAACTAGATTTAGTCCCTGGCACTTTATCAAAAGCTGGCTGAACCCCAATCTGGAAGAATGAGATTCTATTAAATTTAATTTCTTCCATATCAACCTATACTCAATTATTAGCACTCCAGGGAGCAAGCCCAAGAGTGCTAGTGGTTTAGCATTGATTTGCCTGGGTATGTTATAAATGAGTACACCAAAGTGAGTCAACAACTGATCCTGGGAAATGCTGGTGTAACTACAGCAGGAGACTGGATAGAGAAAAGACCATTCAGTCACAGCCCATGCCAACAGAAACTTATGCTAACAGAAAGGCTGAGGAACAGCCCCGGAATAGAAATAGGAAAACTTTTGCCTTAGCGTTCTCTGCTTTGGGACACACCCTAGGCCCTCTTCCTCCCTCAGAAGATGAATGCTATTTTACAAACACCACTTGGCATTCCCTAAAGCAAGAGATGGGGCTGCAGGAAGAGCAGGGTAAAGATTCAATGAGCAGCCAGTCGATGGCTTAAGTAGCAGAGCATGCTGTCCGACTTTGAGAATTCAGTTCCAAGTCTTGCCTCTAAAAAACCTTGAATTTATTTCTCATCCTGGTATCAGCGTGCAGCCCCACGAGTGGTCCCACATACTAGTGTCTTGCTTACACAGTGCAGAGGCTGGAACTACACACCAGGTGGCTTCATCTTGCTGGATCTGGGAGCCTGTACCCCTTAGAGGTTGGGTGTTTTCAGGACAGAGGGCCCTGCCAAATCGCTCACAGATAACTGTGAGCACTTGGAGAAAACCAGGACAAGGCTCTGTCATTATTTGTACGTCGCAAACGTTTACCTCCAGCCAAATGTCAGACACATCGTGCACCAGCATCACGAGGGTCCCACTGCGGACGTAATTAGCACACCAGGAGAAGCTCATCAGGCTAATAGCAGCCAGGTGGTGGATGACATTAGCAAGAAAATCCTACAGAACGAGAGAAAAGTGGGAGCCATTAAGCAAAAGCAGCTATTTCCCAGTGACCAGAAGAGATAACCAGGAACTTACATCTGCATGTTTCAACTATAGAATTTAGTATATATTTTATAATATGTACTTAATATTATATATATATATATACATGTATGTGTTTTTTCTTAACACAGTCCTTGTGAGGGAGCCAGGGCAAGTATTACCCTTACTGGTGAAATAATTTAACTTTGGGACAGCACTGAACACTTGTCACCTAACTGGGATTTCTGATAGTCTTTCCGTGGCTCCCTCCATCCACTATATTCTTAGGTTCTGTGAGTTTTGTTTGAAGATATCGGTGAACTTCAGTGTTCCCACTAGTGACAGTTATATCAGCCTCCAACTCAAAGAGCATTCAATAAAGCCAGCTCCACTTACTCTAGTATTTGGCTGACTTTAGCCTTATTTATTAAACAGACGTTGCTATGAGCTAGGATTCTGTACTGGGTCAGTGCATGAAGATCTAAGGCACCAACACTGCTTCTCACTTGGTTGGATTTGGTGAGAAAAAGCTTGTGGCAGCACTCAGGGTCTAACACAAACACTGACCCAGTAACGCAGGAAACTAGACGGCTCTGAAGTGTCTCACTTTGTGATCTCACTGGGAACATTAATAATGCCTGTGACTCAGTTCCCCTGTAAACAAAGCAAAGCTATGTATGCTTCAAACAAGATTTATCCTAGGGATAACTAAGGAATTAAGGAGGAAGGTGGGTAGCCATTCCAAAGACTTTGAAAACATTAGAAAGGACTGTATATTTTTTTTTCATCAAGTAAAAGATGTAGCACAGAGAAAGTCATTACACTAACAAGTTTTTTTCTGTGCATTAGAGGACACTGCCCTTCAAAGCCAAAGGAAACAGAACGATTAACCAGGTATCCAGCTTCAAACATAAAGTTTCTATGTTTCACTACAGGCAAGTCATCAAAGCCTAAACACAATTTGAATTACTCTATGAACTATCAAAAGCAAAAATAGCCAATGTGCTAAAGCTAAAAATGCACAAAATTTACAGTTTACAGGTAGAATTAGAAGTAAAGGAATAAAAACAAATTGAATGGATAAAAGTAGCTCTGTAAAACAGCACTTACCTTCCTCTTGGTATCAGTGCCCAGGCTAAATAGCAGTGACCAATAAAAACTCATTTCCAAAATGTAGTACCAGTACTGGGAAGGCAGCAGAGGCTGAGAAAAAGGAAGACAGTCATTCTTCCAAATGCGACCTCACAGGCAACATATTTTAGCTCACTGAAACCCATTTATATGCCACAAAATTGTAGGAAATTGCAAATTCTTAAATCCCCCAAAGGAATCATAGATAAACTGTCAAGGTGTTTAATTTTTGAAAGGGTAGAGAAGTATTCTTAACCAAATGTTTTGACTAAAAAGTTTAAAAATGCTATAGGTATGAAAGCCTAATTTTAGCTTAATGTGAGTTATGTTAGATATGCAACTATTTAAGGACTGTAAAACTGTCTTCTGAATAGAAGTAATTAAGTTTCTCCTGCTAGAATTTCTCTTAGTGCTGTTATAGCAAGGAAATTCTTGAGACACTGAGGCAAATTGAGACACGTTGTTAGGTGTGAAGGACTGTTACCTTAAGGAGCCTACTGAATGCAGCCTTTTAGTACCCATGGCCTTACTCCATGGCCTATGAACTTAATCCTGGTATTTGGCCAAGGGGACAGGAGTCAATGCAGTACAGGCACAGACGTCACAAGCGCTGTTTAAGAAAGCTGAGCCATTGTGCAGACAGTCCACAAAAGGCGGCTAGTCGAAACAGTATAAAGACAGGAATAAGGCCACCAACTGCCGTGAAATATGTGAATGGTCAGGAGTGACTGGTGGCTGGCAGTGAGGCAGCAGGCTTGAGGATGCTGTGCTAGGCTCCGAGAGATACTGATGCTTGTGAGGAGAGTGAGTGGGGCAGCATGAACAGAACTCAGTTATGACCTGTGAAACTCTTACTGCTTTCTTGTTCCTCTGTCCTGTTGTTTTTATTATTTATTTTATGTTTGTGGATATCTTGCCCACATGTATGCACGGACCATAGGTGTGCCTGCTTATTGTAGAGGCCAGAAGGTGACACTGGATCCCTGGAACTGGAGCGATGGGTAGTTGTGAGCCATCATGTAGGCGCTGAGAATCACACCCTTGTCTTCTTGGAAGAACCTCTGAGCCTTCATTCCAGCCCATTTTCTGATTTTGTTTTGTTTGGTTTTCAGTTTATGCTGAGGCTAACAAGTTAAGAGGCTAATTTTAGCCCGTTACTTTGGAAATGGAGGCAGAAGGTTTGCAAGTTCAGGGCCAACCTAGCTAAGTATCGAGTTTAGGGCCAACCCGAGCTACTTAATGAGAATGGGTCACAAACCAAACCAACCAACCAACAAACAAAGAAACAAACAAACAACCCACCAAGATCTGGGGAGGCTTCTCACCGCAGTGTTGCAGTGAGAGACAGGCTCCACAAGGACTCACCTGTGTGGGGTAGTCCCGCCACACCTCCCACATGTCATAGGCCCACGGTTTCTGGAAGACAGTCGAGACAAGAGGCCTGTCAGGCAAAAGCCCCGTGCACAGGAAGCACAGCTGTCCTTGCTGGTGTTCACTGTCGCACTGACCCACGTGTGTGTTCACTGTTGCACTGACTCTTGTGTGTTCACTGTCACACTGACTCTCGTGTGTTCACTGTCGCACTGACTCTCGTGTGTTCACTGGGGCACTGACTCTTGTGTGTTCACTGTCGCGCTGACTCTCTTGTGTGTTCACTGTCGCGCTGACTCTCGTGTGTTCACTGTCACGCTGACCCACTTGTGTGTTCACTGTCACGCT